AAAAAAAAGATGAGTCTCTTTTTTTAATGACCATGTATCATACCAAAAAAAAAAAAAAGTTACAAAAGTGTCAGTGTCATGAAAGATAATAAAGTGGCAGAGCTATTCTAGATTAAAGGAGATTACAGAAACATGACAACAAAATGCATTGTGTGAGCCTTCATGACATAAAACAATTTTTAAAGGATATAAGTAGGACAGTTTATAAAAGAATTTGTACTATTTAGGTAATTGTATTAATGTTAAATTGCTTAAATATTCTGTATATTTCCTGTTAATTATATTGTATATTGTATATAAGAAAATCCCTTTATTCTGAGAAGATAACTGCTAATATGTTTAGGGGTAAAATATCTGTCTGCAAATCTCATGTGGTCCAACAAACCATTAGCATGCACATATACACACATACATATAAATTAGAAGAGATAAAGTGAATATAGCAATATATTAACAGTTTGTAAACTAGGTGAAAGCTGTCTGGGTCTTCCTGGTACTATCTTACAACTTTGTAAGTTAGTCATTTTTCAAAAAGTTGGGGATGGTAAATGAAAAAGAAATTAATGATTTCTTACTGTCAAATATCTACTCAGTGTTCAGATTTTTAATTGTCTCAATCATAGTGGGTGTTCTCTCTCTCTCCCTTTTTTCTTTAACACTTTAAATCAGGATCCAGATAAAGTTCACACATTGTGATTGGTTGATATATCTTTAAGTCTGTGGTTTTCCTTTTCTTTTTTCTTTCAACTCATTGTTGATGAAACTGAGTCATTTGTCCTATAGTTTTCTACAGATTGGGTTTTAATGTTGCATTGCCATAGTATAATTTAGCATGTATTTCTGTCTTCTGTGTTTCCCATAAACTGGTAGTTAAGTCTGAGGGTTGATAAGACAGGTTTGATTTGAGGGGAGCAAGACTGTTTCATAGGTGGTGGTGTTTCTTTCCATCTAGAGGCGCATAATGTCTGGTTGTCTGGGCCTCTTTATAATGTTAGCAGCCAGTGGTGCTCAGTGGCTAAGCACATTAACTTAGTAGGGTTTGGAAAATGATGTTATCATTCCTTCTTCTTTTTTTTTTTTTTTAAGATTTTATTTTTAAGTAATCTCTACACCCAATGTGGGGCTTGAACTTACAACCCCAAGATCAAGAGTCGCATGCTCCACCAACAGAGCCAGCCAGGCGCCCCTATCATTCTTTCTCCTATTAGTTGAAATACTTCTATAAAGAGAAACTTCTCTTTGTCTGTTTGGTTAGCCAGTGGTAGTTTATATAGGAAAAGCAGGATAAATGCTTGATTCTTTCCCTTCACTTACCAAGTTCAAAGTAATGAGTTGGTTCATTAGCATACTCCAGTCATGACCAAATAGGTTTTGTTGTTTTTGTTTTTACTTTAATATGAACTCATGAATTTAAACATATTTGTGATTTAAACCCATTTCTTCGAGCCCTGCATCAGGCTCCCTGCTCAGCGGGGAGCCTGCTTCTCCCTCTCCTCCTGGATCACGCTCTCTGTCGCTATCTCTGGCTCTTTCTCTCTCAAATAAATAAAAAAATCTTTAAAAAAATTACTTCTAAAAAAATAAATAAGCCCATTTCAGTTTTTTTCTTTATTGATGTTCAAATTGTCCTTCATAGGTATCATAGTCTGTGATATTTTCTTGCTATCTGATATGACAAGATGTTCCATGCTCAACTTGTACATTTTTTGTCCCCCAGACATGGAATTAGTCCTTTCTCCAAGGTGTCCTAGTTCCTTTTGGTAGTTTTTAAAAATCAAAATCTGGCTACCAAGGGTTCATCTAGCTACTGGGTTCATAACTGTTTCTAGGCCTCTTCAGTTGACAGAGATAGGAATTTTTTCAAGGTAAAATGTAATTATGAGTTGATAGCATCTTTTTAAAAGCTCTTTTTAGTGAGGGGCGCCTGGGTGGCTCAGTCGTTAAGCGTCTGCCTTCGGCTCAGGTCATGATCCCAGGGTCCTGGGATTGAGCCCCGCATCAGGCTCCCTGCTCTGCAGGAAACCTGCTTCTCCCTCTTCTACTCCCCCTGCTTGTGTTCCCTCTCTCACTGTGTCTCTCTCTGTCAAATAAATAAATAAAATCTTTAAAAAAAAAAAAAAAAGCTCTTTTTAGTGGTATGCATTATCTAAAGCAAGAAAATAACCAAATGTCTTATAAATCTCCCTACAGATCTTAAACTAGCTTATTCAGCTTTCTTATCAAATTGACCTTTTGTGTTACAGATGGCAGGGAAGACTGCTGTGTTTAATTTCAAAAAAGTGTAATTCTGTGGATTTCTTTTTTCCTATTTATTTGCAGATGGTAGGTGGCTATTAGGTGTAGCAGAAAAAATGAGTTGACTATGTAGGTAAGAACTGGTTTTTGAGCTTTAAATGAAAAAACAAAACAACCAAAAAACAAATTGTTTTCTTAAAAACTGGATGTGAATTATAGGGGGGGAAATCCAGTTAACTTGTGAACCTGGGGCATGAGGACTAGGGTTAGCCACCCTAGCTTTGAAAGCCAAGACCAGTTTTTTTCTTTCAGGTATTGGCACATGTCCTAATTCTGTTCTGGATGATCTAAACAGTACAGTATTTATAACTTTAGCTAAGTTGGATTAATTTTAACAAACACCTGGGGTAAGGTGCTCACCAAGAATTTAGAAATAAGGGAGATTGGACTGTCCTCTGCTGGTAAACCTGAGGTAAGCCCAGGAAATTCACCTTCAGAAATGTGCTGGTTGCCAGACAGGCATAGCTAGATGATTCAGAATAGCAGCTTCTTAAGGCACTTACTGGGATTCTCATGCTCGTCAGTCATTGCCCCCTACAGTGAGGTATTTTCTTGGGGTCTGTACCTGTGGGACGGCTGTACCTCCTCCTCAGTGAGAATGCCTTAGCTTTGTGAGGTGAATCCTGTACCTACCTTAAAAGAATATGAAACTTTGCCATTTTTGTCTAGGTTATATCAGTATCCCATGGTGACTGTTAAGCCCTCTATAAGAGTCCAGTTCTTTCACATTGAGAGTAAAATGGTCACAATACGCCAGTAGTAACTATGTGCCAGGATTAATAGGTATCTACGTACATTAACTCACTTTCCTCTTGATAAACCTATGAGGTGTAAGAGGTGCTATTATCTCTTTTACAAATGAGGACAGAAAGGTTCAGCAACTTGCCTAAAGACTTATAGCTAGAAAATGGCAGAACCCCAGGACCTATAGCCAAGCAGTCTGTTTCTGGAGTACCTGCACTTAACACTTAGGCTACCTGCTACACTGTGGTAATAAGAGATAGCTTTATTGTAAGGAAAGATCTTAAGAAAACAAACTACAGGTAGGAAAGCTGAGCACTGTTACATGGAACAAGTCTAGGTCCTCTGGTAGTCATCTTGGGCTCCTTCTCTTTCAGGGTTGAAAAACACTGCTCATGTTTTCCTAAAAGGTACCCTTTTAGTTCTGATTACCTCAGCTTTTCATTTGTATTAGAGAGTAGCCTCCTTAAAATTGCCTCAGAGACAAGAGTAGCTGGCTAAGTGTTAGTTTCTGCTTTAAAACCCCGAGGCCTCTCCACCTATCACCTTAGACCATTGGATCAGATTCCAGCCACATTTGTCTGGATGTTAATCTTTTTATTTTTCCACTTAAAAAGGAAAACTCTTTATTAGGGAAAATTTTGCACTCATACAGAAGTAGATAGAGTAGAATGCCTGTGTACACAACTCAGCTTCAGTAATTATAAACTGATGGCCAATCTCATTTCATCTATATCTTCACCACTTCTCATAATTTTAAAGCAAATCCCAGACTATGTATCATTTTTATCAGTAAATAATTAAATTTATTTCTAAAAGATAAGGACTTTTTACAAACATAATGATACTACAGTTTTAAAAATGAATGGTAATTCCTTAATCAAATAGCACATGCTATTTAAATTTCGTAGATTATCTCATGAAAATTGTTCTATAAGCTTGTTTAAATCAGGACCCAAATAAGATCCATACATTGTAATTGGTTGACATATCTCTTATTTATATTCCTTACTAGAAGTTCGTCCTCCATCTTGTTCTTTTTTTTTCCTTGCAGTTTTTTTGTTGAAGAAACTAGATTATTTTAGACATAATTTAGTCTTAGGTATTCTTTCTCTGTCAATAAATTTTACTCTAAGTTTTATTTTTGGTGAGGTATTAAAATAAACCAGTAAGCCTTTCTATTAAAAAGTTATTGATGTGGGGCGCCTGGATGGCTCAGTCGTTGGGCGTCTGCCTTTGGCTCGGGTCATGATCCCAGGGTCCTGGGATCGGGCCCTGCGTCGGGCTCCCTGCTCTGCGGGAAGCCTGCTTCTCCCT